AGTTATGGACTTAGATACCTTATCCAACAGTTTATCTGACGAAACCCTCGTCATTCCACTTGAAGAAATAGAAATCAACGAGAATCTCCTATTTGTCGAAGAACCAGTCGAAATCATGGTCAGGGAAGCATGGGCCAGAATTCACATGGGAACGCGAAGACCAGATGAAGCAGATGTACCTTTACCTATTCTCTCATTCTTGAACCTAGATTTAAAAAGAATTTCGGGACGAAATTCCCTCTAACGAGGTGATGATGTCACAACTAGGAATTCTATACCATGTAACAATAACAATGATAACATTTGTGAGCCAAAAATGTGAAAGCATGTATAATGCTTATTCAATAACAACAAATTTTCCATCAAACACTCTATGCAAGCACTTTAAATAGTCAACAAAGAATTGGAAACCCTAGAAATCCCGGTTTCAGTCTATTATGGACTAGGATTTCATTATTGGACCTAATGGGCCAATAAGCTTCCAATTTGATTATTTTGGGCTAGAACTCTTAAATGGGCTCTAATTGGACCCACTTCCATTTATTTTAATAATTTGGGCCATATTGGGCCTAGAATGAAATAAAATACCTTAATGGACCTTATTGGTCTAGAAAAATCATTCCTTCATTTATTTAACCTAATTAGCCCTAATGATCTAGAAAAATCATTCCTTCATTTATTTATTTTGGGCCGTGAACCCTCTCTAAAGACCAAATGGGCCAAAAATCATCTAATTGGATCGTAATATGGGCTTAAGCATAAAAAGGACCAATCTATTTTCTTTCTTCTCCCACTCTCGGTCCAAACCACAAAACATGGGGAAGAAGAGTTGACTTTCCTACATGCCACCTCACAATTGTACATGGGGTATCCATGCACTTTTCTCATACTTCCAAGCAACCCATCACTTCATTCTCTCTCTCTATTTTTCTTCTTCGGCCGAGAACACAAAGGGAAGGACACACAGACACAATTCACTCAAAACTCTCTGAAAGAACACTCTTACTTCTTCATCAAAAAATTCGAGATTTAACAGCTTTCAAGAAGGATTTTCCATAAGAGTCATCATCTTAGGTAAGTTGATGCTTGGATCCATAGTCTAGACTCTTTGTTTTATCAAAAATGTCTCCCATATAAAATTCATGATCTTGCATCTTAGAACACATCTAAGCCAAAGATCCTCCAAGAAGCTTGCTAGGCCGAGAATAACATCAAACTTCTTCCATTCTTCTTCAAAACCGAACGCACAAACTCAAGGTGACTCCATACCCCTCTATTTTCGGGTTTTCATGGGTTTTATAGGGGAGAAAACAAGTAAAATGTGTAGATCTATGTGTATGTGTATGTTATGTGTGATTTCATGTGTTTATGTGATAAATGTGTAACAAAAAGAATAGAAATTTGAGATCTATGACTCTAAGAGGAAGATAAACATGATCTAAGAAGTATTACACTAAAACAGGTAATGAAAAATTATCCTCTAAGATTAAAATATACATATTGCAACATAAAACCCATTTTTGGGCTAAAATTGTCAAACAAACAAAAGTTGGGTTGATAAATAGTCATTCACGGTTTTCTTAAGGGCTAAAAGAGTCAAATCAGTAAAAATAAATTTTATAATGGATCATACTCTTTTAAGGGCTAGAAGTGTAAAATGTAGTTTAATGGGCCAAATTTTGGGCATTTCGGCCCATTAAGCCCTAATTTGTGAAAATCCCAAATTTTAAGGGGGGTGAAATGACAAACTTCTCAAACAAGGGGTATAAAGGGTAAATGAAACTAATTCAAGGGTGTAATGACAAACTTCTCATTTCGGCCCATTAAGCCCTAATTTGCTTTGAGCGGAATTTGACGGGAACACCAAAGATTCTGACCCATGTAATCCTTTCTGCTGTTGATTCATCATTAAAACCACGCTTCAACCAACTGAACCATTTTTTCCAATTAGAATCATTTGCATAGAAATCCTTTGCGTCTTTCGACGTGATGAATTTTATCAAGACGTTCAAACCCCTTGTGTAATAGAACATCCCACATTGATTACCTTTGAGTTCAAAAATACCAGGTAAATCTTTAATGTGTTGCACACTGATACATTCACTGACTAGAACACATTCCTCCCAGATTGCAGTATTTACAAATAGGATTTAAGGTGATGAATAGAGGAGGGGTTGAGGGTTTTTGTGTGCTTGCTCGCCCCATAACTACATCAACAAATAACGTGCCATCTCTTTTTCCCCATACAAATGGATGCATACTTGTAGAGCGTGGGGCTTGCTTTTTCAATTAGAAATTGGAACTTACTATGTGAGATCATTTTTAGTACATGGCAATGTTGACTTTGAGGATATAGTGGTTACATCTGACTCTACTCATGTCTTGCTCCAGAGATTTCGCATCCTGGACCCTATCGAATCTAACAAAAGCGAATAAGGATCCTGACATGTTTCTCTTTCCTCCGATCTAAATATCTACTACGTTTATAAACACCTTGAAAATCTCCCTTATCTTAATCTTGTTGATGCAATCTGGTAAGTTGGATACGTAATAGGATATTATGGTTGAGTTCATCCCCTTCGATTGATCTGTGATGCCCCAGTTCCGACAAATTTCCGTACATTCTTGGTGGCGACCATCCAACTTCCTGGGGAATAATTTTTTTTCTTCATGACTATTAACCATAACCATTAACCAATAAAAACCGTTAACTAAAACCAATATTAACCAATACCTAATGTCTACAAAAATGCATTAACCACTTATAATGGTTATGGTTCGGTTTTAGCTAAAAATTGAATCAAATCGCCTCATACACACCCCTATCGATTGGGTCGGGTGTCTTCAAACATGTAGGTCCACTTCTGGTTTATGTGTCTATCTTGGCGATAATCTCGTGTCATGATCCTCTGAACGTGAGCATGTTGTCTCTCAGCATGTTGTCTCTCAATCATCATCACAAGCTGAGTACCTAGGGGTCGCATACCGTTGTTGGTGAAGCTACTTAGCTTCACAATCTTCTACTCAAGTTATCTTGTCAATTATCTAAAGCAACAATTAATATTTAGACAATGTGAGCATTATGCATTTAGCCTTGAACCTAGTATAGGATCGACGAACCAAACATGTGGAAATTAATTTACATTTTATTAGGGAATGCATTGTCATTGGTCATATGCATGTCTTGAATTTTCTATGGGCTCTCGAGTTTGCAAATATATTTATAACGAGACTCTTCACTAAGTTATTTTTAGATTTTTGGTACTGTTTAAACATTTGTAAACCTCATACACAAATTGATGATGTGTGTTAAGGTATATGTTATTTTATTCTTTAATATATAGTTTAGTAGTCTCATGCACAAATGCATTCCCTACGGGTTTTCAACATCATGCAAATTGAACTAAAATCGAATTCTTGTATATAATAAAACGCATAAAAAGAAAATGTTTGTAGTTATGGGACGGTGGGTATAGCTTTTCCGAATGTTGAAAGAATCAAATGTAGTATAATTAATATATATTTTTTAATGACAAAAGTTACAAGTAATTAAGAAAATGAGGCTTTGATTAAGCAAATTTTAGATAAGTCAACTTTCAGAAAATATAGATTATCCTCTGAAATTATTAGATGATTAAACAATTCCCAATATCCTTTCACAAGAAATAGGCGAAAGAATTGTGATACCAAGCTGTAGACGCGTTTTGGACTTTATTGCAATGATTTGGAAGTTACTTATTACATTAGATTTATAGTAATTTACAATTTTTGTCCATCTGGTTGTTACTTTTTGTAGGTTTAGTCCAAGTTTTAAAACATTGATATGAATGGTCCTTCTTTTTCTTTTTCCTTTTTCTTTTTTTAATACCGATGGACCTTTAGTTTAACTCAGTTAGAGAATCTCCGTTAAGTCCTTATGAAATGTATACATCTCTTTCTTTTTGTTATAAAGGGTCCACCACCACCCTCACTACCATCCCAACCATCCTTTCATTGGTATTTTCTCCGGCACCAAACCATGGAAATATGAAACAAAATCAGTTAATTAACAATAATGGACGAATCGAAGCAAAAATTACTAGTAAAGACACCTTGAAAGTTGGAAATATATAATCAAAATGGACTTTGGGAATACGAAACATAAATGGACCATAGAAATATGAAACATAAATTTACCAATAATGAACTTAACCTTGTGATTGAAACAATTATTTAATTTGTTAGTTTATATTGTTTCAATATATATATATATATATATATATATATATATATATATATATATATATATATATATATATATATATATATATTTTGAGAGAGAGAGAGAGAATAACTTCCATATAACAAAAAAGTAGGCCAACCTTCCAAAAACCTCTTCCATAGAAAAATATGGTGGTAACCTAGACCTAAGTGACGTGGTCATACTGGAATGGTCTCTAAATTTCATAAAATGTCAAAATAACAAAAATGAAAAAAATAAAGGTAGTGGTCATTTTACAGGAATTTAACAGAGGGGGTTCACATTAACTGCCAAAGACCAACCGTGATAATTTTTCAAAACTTGGACTAAAACTGTAAACCAATTCAACAAAAAGGACCAAAATTGTAATTTACGATGTTAAAAGATAACTTCCTTCAAATAAGCCAGCTTCTATGCAACATTTCGAAACACCGACACCCCTATGTACTACTATCAATGTGTTAATTAAAGCCACGCCGATAATACTAGATCCTGATAAAGGGATTAAGATACTACGGTTATATAAGAATAAATAAAGGTGGTTGAAAATTCCGTTTTTATTTATAAATGAAACCTTGAAATAATATAATTGTAAATTAATTGTCACACAGACAAAAGTCTTGTGATGACAGAAAGATAAACACACTACAAGAGTGCACGTCTTAACCCTACTCCTCAACATGCTCTCCAACACTTTTGTTTCTTTAACCCTTTTCGTATAGACCCTACTCCTCCTCTCTAATCCACCACCGTCGTCGCCATGGGAGGAGGACGCAAGTTATCAGCCTCCTTTCTCTCCTCATTATTCATCTTTTTCTTTCTTTCTACCAATGCCCGATTCACTCCTTCAGACAACTACCTCATCGACTGTGGATCACCTCACAACACCATCCTTGACGACGGCCGGACGTTTAAATCAGACCCTCAATCGGTTTCCTACCTATCCACCGACGAAAACATATTCGCCACCTCAAATTCCACCCCGGAAAACGAAACTCTCCCTTTATACCGGACTGCAAGAATCTTCGACAGCGAATCAGTTTATAGGTTTCTCGTCTTTCAACCAGGCCGCCATTTCCTTCGACTCTACTTCTACCCTCTCCACCACCCGTCATATAATCTCACCACGGCGGTTTTCACCGTGAAAACTGATCAAGGTCTAGTTCTTCTGCATGATTTTTCAGCCACAAAGAATTCGGATTCTCATTTCAAAGAATACCTCATTAACGTCCCTTCTGATGATTTCTCACTCGTTTTCTCCCCATTAAAGAAATCTTTTGCTTTCGTGAATGCAATCGAGTTTAATTCAGCCCCCGATGAGCTTGTTCCCGATTCCGCAACCATTATCTCTCCTCCTGGAGTTTTTAATGGTATGTCGGATTATGACCTTCAGATTGTGCATAGAGTTAATGTCGGAGGGCCAATGGTTAGTCCTAAAAACGACACATTGTCAAGGACATGGAAGAGTGATAGTCATGGATACATGATGTTTCCCAAGGGTGATAAACTTGTTTCCGTTGATCCGAGTACAATCACTTATCCGGTTGGAGGAGCCACCCCTTTGATTGCACCAAACCAAGTTTACTCCTCGGCGGCTTCAATGGAAGAGTCCGGTGTCTCCAATGCAAATTTCAACCTGACTTGGGAGATGAAAGTAGATTCGGGGTTCAATTACTTTATCAGGCTGCACTTTTGTGATATCGTGAGCACCGGTATGAACACCCTCTATTTCAATGTGTATGTAAACAACATGATGGGGATCTCAGGGCTAGACTTGTCATCACTCACTTCAAACCTAGCCGTTCCCTACTACAAAGATTTTGTGCTCAACGCGTCCGCCGTTTCCAACGGCTTGATACGTGTCCAGGTTGGACCATCGGATCTTGAATCCGCCATTCCCAACGCCGTACTAAACGGCGTGGAGATTATGAAGATGAGAAACGCCGCAGGCACCTTAGATGGGTTATTCTCATCCAGCAGCAATAGTCGTGGTGTGTCACACACCACAACTATTGCCGAGGTAGTTGGTGTTGGAGCAGCAACAATTGCATTGTTGCTCCTCATCTTTACCTTCATTAGGAACAAAAACAAGGCCAAGGGTTGGGACCAGGGTGGAACTAGTTCCAAGTCATGGTTTCTTCCCCTTAACGCGAGTTATTGCACTACTTTGCTTTCTAGCAAGAGCAAGAGCAAGAACGGGTACTCGAGTGTTTTCTCTTCTAATATTGGCTTCGGCCGATCTTTCACTTTTAACGAGCTACGAGACGCAACAAAGAATTTCGATGAAAGTGTGGTAATCGGCGTTGGAGGGTTCGGGAAAGTTTATATAGGGGAGATAGAAGCAGGAACAAAGCTTGCAATAAAGAGAGGAAACCCTAGATCCTCACAAGGCATTAACGAGTTTCAAACCGAAATTCAACTGCTATCCAAGCTTAGACACCGACATCTCGTTTCATTGATTGGCTACTGCGACGAAAATAGTGAAATGATTTTAGTGTATGAGTACATGGCTAATGGACCACTTCGTGATCACATCTACGGATCAACCCTACCTTCTTTGACATGGAGGCAGCGCCTCGAGATCAGCATTGGTGCAGCTCGAGGGTTGCACTACCTACATACCGGTGGATCATCACATGGTATAATCCATCGGGATGTAAAAACCACTAACATTCTCTTGGATGAGAATCTAGTGGCAAAAGTCTCCGATTTTGGGTTGTCAAAAACCGGACCGGCTTTGGACCAAACTCATGTTAGCACGGCGGTGAAGGGTAGTTTCGGGTATCTTGATCCGGAATACTTCCGGAGGCAACAACTTACAGAGAAATCTGATGTTTACTCATTCGGTGTTGTCCTTTTTGAGATCTTATGTGCTAGACCCGCTCTTGATCCTGCATTGCCAAGAGAACAAGTGAATTTAGCCGAATGGGCAATGGCAAAACAAAGGAAGGGTGTGATTGAGATGATTGTTGATCCTAGAATTCTGAAAACGATATGCTCTGAATCTTTAATTAAATATGTGGAAGCAGCAGAAAAGTGTCTAGCTGAGTATGGTGTTGATAGACCTTCCATGGGAGACGTTCTCTGGAACTTGGAGTTCGCTTTGCAACTTCAAGATGCATCTTTGCAGCTCGATCCTCCTGAAGAAGATGATACCTGCGATGCAAAGAAAAATAAGATTGTTTCTTCTGAAAAGTCCAAGAAAGGAGATGAAACAAATAACGACAGTGATGTTAGTATCCTTATTAATGATGACTCAGGCATTGTGATTGGTTCTCCTTTGTTCTCCAAGATCGAAGATTTTGAAGGAAGATGAATATAGATCTCAGCATTTTGGTGTTTGGAATTGATTGTAGATTTTAATTGTTTGATTAATTGGGGTTTCTTATTCTTCTATATATGTTCCGTTAATGCATTTTAATGTCATAAAAGATTTGTGTACGGTCAACAATGTTCTGAATATTAAGAATTTATCATAGCCGTTTGATAAATTGACAAATACCAAGGATGCGACTGATGTTAAAGATGAAAATGTTCTGAATATGTTAAAGATGAAGATGTTCTGAAACTCTTTTCTTACATAAGTCGGTGCAACCTTCTTTTGAAGTGTTGTATTTAACCTGGCCGTTACTTTCTTTTATGCAATCTCTTTTCTATTGTTGTTGCATGTATATGGCACTACATGAATAATGACCTTTACCGGCGATCGAGATCACCGCTAAAGGCCCAGGAAGTCACTACTAAAAGAGTTAGCGGCGTTGTTGGCTCGGCGTTGTTGGCTCGTCGCTAATATTCATATATACTGTCACCGCTAATGTTATGCTTGGCTGCTAATGCTATCTGTCACCAATAATGTTATCCGTTGCAACTAAAAATACTGCCACTAATTGTAGTTTCCAATTTTTTTAGTTTTTATAAAACCATTCATTCCAAATACAAAAAAAATGTTACAAAAATATTAAAAATAAAAAAAATTAAAAAAAACTTATTAAATATTAATTGTAGATAAGTAAATCAAAAAAATAAAATTTAATAATATTACATTAATCCCAAAATGTTAATCAAACATTCAAGTGCAAAATATGTTATAATTTTACAAAACATCATACATTTTAAAACTAGGTACATGTCATCATCGCTCCCCTTGTTCCCTCCGATATAGTTTCTTCGTGGTGGCAAGGTTCAAAACCATTCTTCATATGTCGCACTGCATGTCGGGTCACTTAGTATTGTTTGGAACATATTCAACTACAAAAAAACAACATTATACCAAACTACAAATTAACAACATATAACTACACTAACATTTAACAAACTAAAAAATGTCAATGTATCAAACTATAATCAGACGAACAATTCCCAACATATAAACTATTACCTAACTAAAAGTTACTAAAATATCAAATTACTACCAAACTAACAATTACCAAACATAACCAAACTAATAATTATCAAATTACAAAATACCAACATATTATTCTATAACCAAACTAACAATTACAAACATAGAAACTATTACCTAACTAACAATTACCAATATATCAAACTATTACCAAACTAACAATTATCAAACTATCAAATATCAACATATCAAACTATACCAAACCAGCATTTACCAACATATTATCTATTATCAGACTAACAATTACCAAAACATAACTAAACTAACAATTATCAACCTGTAACCAACTAATAATTACAAAATTACAAATACCAACATATCAAACTATAACTAAAGTGTATATATATATATATATATATATATATATATATATATATATATATATATAAGAGATTTTAAAAATTAAATAGACTTGTTACATGTGATTGTGGTTGTGATGATTGTTCTTGATCATACAACGACACAACCGTATAAAGTTTACGCCTGATGCCTCTGATATATCAGCGTTGAACACCCTTTTTTTTTTCAAAAGCATTTCTTACTTCCTGTGGTGTTAGACCTCTTTCTTCGGTTAAAGCTTGAGTTTGTTGATTTAACTCTTGGACTAAAACATTCTTTGTTTTCAAATAATGATTAACATCATAATATAAATAAACACTTATATTAACATATTATATTTAACCACTAATATATTGTTGCTCGGCTATAGCACTAATGAATACCCCTTGGCAATCGGTAAAAGTCTTATAAAAGACCTCAAGTCTACTAAGTACCTTTACCATTAAAATTAGATTAATTATACTTTAAATAAACAATTTGATATATATATATATATATATATATATATATATATATATATATATCATAACTTATTTCTTTGAAACAAGTACTACTATACGAGCACGACCCCCCTTTATGTGTGTATTGTTGTAATGCACAGACTGCTTTTTTTACCATCTCGGATCTCTTTCCCTGAAGCCTCCTATCAAGTAAGGCGTGTAAGTTAACTTTCTATTGAATGGGGTGAGGAGGGCAACTACGAGTGAGCCCTGATACATTTTCGGTGCCATGGAGCTAGACCAGTGAGTTATTACGCTTTCTTCAAAGGATGGTTGCTTTCAAGCCCACCTCCTGGTTGTCATCGCTCGATCACTTCCTTTTCCACTAAGTGATTGCTTAGGGACCTTAGCGTACGATCTGGTTTGTTTCCCTCTCGACTTTGGATCTTAGCACCCAAAAAGTCTATCTATACAAACGATCTTGGATTCTGGCAATGCAATGTAGTTGGACTCTCATGTCGATCCGAATGAATCATCCTTTCCACGAAGTAAGGGCCCTTCTCCGCAAGTCTGTCTATGATTAAGAGTCTAGGTGGTGTCTTATTTAATTCAAAATTACTTTCTTTCTACTAGCTCTTATATAAGCAATTTGCAGGAAGTAAACGAAGTCTTTCCTTCCGAAATCCACGAATGCTTTATTAATTTGTGCATTTAAAAAATATTAAATTATTGTGCCCAATTTTCACGTGACATACACTTGGGGGCAGGGGGGTAAATGCGCTTGGGATATCTACAAGCCCTCTAAATAAAAACGATTACTCGCTTTGCTTTTCTGGTCTGTATAACGTTTTTGTAGAGAAGCATCAATGCCCTGCAATAACTGAGCATGTTGGAGATCCAAGTTAACTAGATCCAAATCAAACTTTCTCTACAAATACAAAACAAGTTAGTTAATTAAATACCAATCACAAATAAACTAAAAATATTATTATATAAATAATTTTCTTCAGATGCATGACTGTAACATTCCTTAAATCGGGAGAAACACTGTCCGAACCAGATACGCTAAAAGGGATGTTCTCCCACATATATCGCTCAATCTCATGGGTAAACATACTACAACGTGTCCCGATAGGGTAACATGTGCGAACTCTATCCAAATCCAAACCCAAAACTCCCCCTATTTTTTGTAACAACTTTGAGAGTTGAATGTTTTTGGATAATCATCTTGTTCTTTTTGGTGTCTCAGCTGAAAAATATAATTAAAAATATTAGTCATAATAGTTTATAACAAATGAATAAAAATAGCAATTAAATAAATCATAATAAGACTTACCATGCTCATGCTCTTCAAGTTTTCCATAACCAAAGCTTACTAGATGTAACACCCCTTGTCTAGGATGGATTAGTCGAGGAGTTGCATGGATCAAAGGGATGATTTTTTTGGAAAAGATATAGTATCACAACCTGGTGAATGGAGCACCGTGATGTGGCATGCCAAATGAATGAAATGCGTATTTGATAGCCACCACAATGTGGCAAGAGGAATATCATTTGTAGCCCGACCTCATGATTTTTTAGGTTTTCTTCCACACTTAATCACCTAATCTCAAGGGTTAGGGCATTCTCTTTAGAATCCAACTCTTCAACAACAAAAACCTAGCCTACATAGATGTTTAGGACCTTTTTTGTTTGATTGAAGGCCTTGTTCTTGAATTTTTGTGGAGCTTAAGGAATGTGAAATATCATTTTGGTGCAAGGGAGCAAAGGACGAGCTTGGAATCATGATATCCTTCAGATTTATGAGTTGTTGGAGTTGGTTTGTTGGTGTAGTCATTCAGAGAGTGAGTGTGTTGCTCTGTTCATTGGGTCCTCGATTTAAGTGAGTTTCCTCACTGTGTTACATATGCCATATGTTGTATGTGACCTTATGATAGCTTGGGGTTGCTGATAATCCAATTTATTGTATGTGACCTGCTGATAGTTCGGGCTTGCTAATAAATCTTTATACTTTATGATATACGAGTAGTGGCATGTTGGTTAGAGTACTAGCAGGTCGATGATCGTCTAGTTGAGTGCCCTAGGGCTTGTATGCAGTCATGTAGGATAGCATGAGAACTCTTGATCTAGGCTTTCTTAGTTATTCCTTATTTGGTCATGGCTCTAAAGTGGGATCATATGTTCGACTTCTATCTCACCTCTAATTATAATTTACATATAGTTATGCATTCATTAGTGATCTTATAATAATGGAATAGAGTATTTTATAAGGCCTGGTATTTGGTAATGAGCTTTCTCATTATATTACCTATGTCATCTTGGTGTGCTTATTAGACAAGCTTTTATTTGTTGATTGTTGTTATGTGTACTTATTGAGATGTTAATAACTCCAGGACATTTGATAGTCTGCAAGGTTGCTAATAAACCATGGGGCTACTGTGAGCCCATTGGAATTTTGATAGTCTACAGGACTGTTGATAGTCCTAGGGACACTGATAACCTATAGTTTTTTATATTGTTGTGATGTATGTGATATTCAAGACTGCCAATAGTCATCTAGATTGCTGATAGTCTCATGGTTGCTGATAACCTATAGTTAATTATTATGTTGTGTTGTATATGATATTTTGGGGTAACTTACTTAGCTTCAACTTATAGTTATAGATTAAATGGTTTTCAGGTACCAATGGTGATCATGAGAATTTGAATGCATGATTGTACACACTCATTACTAGCATTGGAGATTCCACATTTATTACATTACTCTAATTCTCAAACAACTACATTTTGGAATAAATGATTTTTATTACTTGGGCTTTTATGAATTGAAGTCTTACCTTAATTAAAAATGATTTTTTTGAATCAAACTCTCCATCATATGCTTCAATATCATAATCATAGTTAGTCTTATCCTCGAAACATTATCGTCTCAACTCATTTGGCGGGGTGCTTCAGTCTCATCTTCATTGTCACACCCCCAAACCAAGGATGGCGGAAACGTCCGAGGGTGGAGGACTTCATGTACAGTATCACAACAACGTGTATAATAGTGCTCAAACTAAACACAACCATCATAAATATAATTGAAAAAGTTACACCAAAGTATATGTTTACATGTTTCAAAATCAATTACAT